ACGCTCTGAAACGACAAGGACGTACTCTGTACGGTTTTGGGGGTTAGAATACACTGTAATCCCTGATCAACACTTAAACCAACGGCTCTTTTTAGGAGCCAACAAATGTATGAAAAGCTCTGACCAATACGTGATAAGAGAATTTGTTTTCATTACGATCATTGCTGAAGGTTTATATACATATCAACAAGTCAACATACACCTGAAATCGATTCAGCGCTTTATTTACTGGGTGCGTCCACGCCAGTTTTTTTTTTTTTTTAGTGACTTTACAGCAGCGCAGTCGTTACTTATACAGGGAAATTATTTTTTTTTCCCGTCTAGATTAGCCTCATAGCTTTTTGCGGGGCATACAATACTGTAAAGCTTTTGTCTTTAATTAGTTAGTGAATAAACTGTTGTTGTACGTTGTTGTTGTGGCAGAATTAAGAGAGCAAGCTGGTTTGTGTCGTTACCGACGACGGTTTATAACTGTGTTAGTTTATTTTACGTAAACAGCTTGTGTACCGAAGGAAATCACGACGATCTCTTTGTAATTTTTAGGGTAAAGAAAACAACATTTCAAGCTCAGTAGTAGCAGCAATGTTTGTTCCCGGTTGGTAGGAATGCGATTAATTGTGTACTCGTTTAAAAAGAGCAGAAAGTTGTTCGATTGTCGCTTGGTATGTACCTCGAAGTTCGTATAAAAACCTGTTGGAAACAGCGCGAATGAAACCTGCATAGAAAGCAAACGCAATTTCAACTTTCATGATATAATCACATCAGTCTTTAAATTCATGTTACACCGAGCTAAACTGACCTAAGACTGGTTTCAGTTTTCGCAAATGCTGTGGTTGCTGTTGTTTGTTTCTTACATGCGATAGCCGAAATAGCGCTAAATATGCTTTGGTATACGCATTTATGAACAAAACTAGCAACATGGAACCATGCAAAAACAAATAGAAATAGCGAGTTTCCGCGAGACATAATTATTTGTGGCTAAGTATCGATCGAGTTATTAACCCCAAACTTAGACGGCGAATACTATTTGGGGGGTAGATTACAAATTTATATCGTGATTGGTCATGACTTTATTCTAGACTTGGTGGCTCCTAAAAGAGCCGTTTGTATTTATGGTTGTTGCCGTCGCTTAGTGTTGTTTCTTCTCTGTCTTTTTTTAGGTAGTAATACTGCCTGAATGTTGGGAAGAACACCGCCTTGAGCGATGGTGACACCGGCAAGGAGTTTGTTTAATTCTTCGTCATTTCGCACAGCCAACTGGAGGTGACGAGGAATGATTCTTGACTTTGTTGTCGCGTGCTGCGTTTCCTGCTAACTCGAGGATCTCAGCACTCAGATACCAAGTACGGCAGCCAAGCACACGGGAGCACCGGCCCGACGCGTTCAGCGTAGTTGCCTTTACGAAGAAGGCGATGGATGCGACCAACAGGAAACTGTAGACCTGCCCTGGAAGAACGAGTCTTTGACTTGGTGCCCTGGGCTTTACCTTTTCCTCGTCCGGTCATTTTGTCGAGTAACTCGTATCTTAAGTTTCAGTTTAAGTTTCAGGAGACTGTTTTCCAAGACATGACTTCGGCCGCCATAATTTATCACGCGCGGACTGCGTTTCGTGGATCAGATTGCACCAATCAAAAGTCTTACATTGGCTCATAAAAGAAATTTAGCCTTGCAATTGTTCTCTTTGTGTCGATTGGCGGCACGCTCCATTGTTTACACCGAGAAAAAAAAAACACCAATCACCGACGAGAACTTGCGATCCGCATATTAATTGATCCTATTGAATTTGGCAACATAAATAGAAACTGTGATATCCCGAATTACCAAACTCTATTTCGAAAAGGCAGAGATATCTTTCTTTACCATGGCACCTAAACCGATTGCAGCTAAAAAGGGAGAGAAGAAGAGCGGCGGTAAGGCAAAATCCACGTCGGGCGACAGTACGAAAAAAAAACGGGATCGAAACGGAAGGAGAGTTATGCGATCTACATCTACAAAGTGTTGAAGCAGGTACATCCTGACACCGGAATCTCCAGCAAAGCAATGGGTATCATGAACTCTTTCGTGAACGATATCTTTGAGCGCATTGCTACAGAATCCTCCCGTCTAGCCCACTACAACAAGAAGTCCACTATCAGCTCCCGCGAGATTCAGACAGCCATCAGACTGCTCCTTCCAGGAGAACTCGCAAAGCACGCAGTCAGTGAGGGTACCAAGGCCGTCACGAAGTACACTAGTAGCAAGTGAAGTCCATTCTTCAATACCAGATCTAAACAACGGCTCTTTTAGAGCCACCAAATGTCAAAAAGCAATGATCAACACAGTTTCTTAGAGTTTTCAATCGTCATTATAAACCCTGAAACTCTTCGCACACTTGTTCCCATTAAAAATGTCAAGGAACGAACAAATCATTCCTCTATTTACCTGTTCAACTTTACTTTTTTTTAAAAAAAAACACACAGATAAAGGTTTTAAAAGATGATTTTTATGTAAGCAAAGAGAAAAGAAGAAAAAAAAAAAAACAAAAAAACGATTGCTGGTTGACAACACGCACCGAACCCAACAGTTTCCGCACGATCTCCTTCCCAGCGCGATGACCACTACACCACGCCAGAGAATCAACTGAAGTAGTTCGTAAAACAACGTTACTTAAAAGTGTTACAGGCATGAACAGGTCATTTCGGTACTGCACTTGAGAACAAGAAAACGGTTTACCAGGCTGCAAATATATATTTTCCGGGATGTAAGGGTTTTAATACTTCAAATCAGTTAAGCGGGAGGGATTCTTACTATTGAATATTGACGTTTACGGTAGTTTTCATTACCCGGGTACCTGATAACCAGTTTCTTGACCAAGGTGCATGTACTGACCACTTCGAATAAAAAGTATTTATCTTATCTGATCTGATCTGATCTGATCTTATGGAGTGGCTTTTGTTTACTCTTTTTTAAGCGCGTCTCTAAGCCGCGGTTCAAGTAACCTTCTGCTTAACAAAAACGAAATCAGTTTCGGCAAAGGAGAAATAAATACTGTGCTATAGGTGAAGGTGACCTAAGGTCAACATACTAGAGGTGATATTGGTGATGACTTTTCTTTATTTGGTGGCTCCTAAAGGAGCCGGTAGTTGAATAAGTGGGCGAGTTTTACTTGCCACTGACTTTCTTGTTGGCTGATTTTTTAACCGAGGCTTTGCTTTCTTTCGCTTTCTTAGGCAACGGCTTTTTTGTGGCAGTCTTCTTTGGCACGAGAGGTGTCTTCTTCTTGCTGCTGGAAACTTTCTTACCCGGCGATTTCTTGGTTTTCTCGGTTGGTTTGCGGGCGGTCTTTTCTTTTCGCGGCGACCTTTTTTATTTTTGGTTTGTTGGCTGGATCGGCGGTTTTGGTCTTCTTCGCCAGGTCTTTGGCTGCCTTTGCTTTTTTTACTTTTTGTTGACCTTGAAAGAACCTGAAGCTCCGGACCCTTTGGTGTTGATAAATTGACCATTCTCCACGCCTTCTTAAGAGCCATTTTAATAAAATGACTTGCTTTGTCTCCCACTTTGAAATGGTTCTTAACGTACTTGTCGACAGCCTGACGTGAAGAACCATTACGATCTTTCAGGGCGTGAAGGGCTTGTATGATCATTTCTGCATACTTAGGGTGTTCGGCCGGCTGTTTAGAAGCTTTCTTCTGGGTGCTTTTGACAGACATGTCTCGTTATAGTCTCCACAGCGATAGCTAATGTTGGTTACTTGCGCAACTCTTTTCTTAAGTTGTTATAGCGGACCGCAGAGGGATCAGTTACTACTGATCGCGATAGATCTGTTACCTCTAAGATGTTTGCTAAGTTCTTTGAAAATGAGATGGATTGTAAACGTCAACATAGGAAGACAGGCAGAGAGATAGACTGAACGAATAAGGAGTTGTTGGGCGCAATCACTAATTTTTTGGTAAGCTTAGGGATACTAGTACTCTACTGTGTCCTTATCGCGAAAAACTTGTAACGGCGTGGAGTATGAGAATTATTTCTGTCTCATTTCACTAGTAACTAATAAAGAAATAAGTAGAGACAAGGTAAGAAGTAGTTTATTGGCCATTAACTTTTATTGTCAGGTGGTGGCTCCTAAAGGAGCCGTTTGTAATGTGAGATTGTCAGAACCGAGCTGAGCTGTTATGCACGTTCGCCCCGGATCCTACGAGCCAACTGGATATCTTTAGGCATGATGGTGACACGTTTAGCGTGAATGGCGCAAAGGTTGGTGTCCTCGAAAAGACCGACCAGGTAGGCTTCGCTAGCCTCTTGAAGAGCCAGCACGGCTGAGCTTTGAAAGCGCAAGTCGGTCTTGAAATCCTGAGCGATTTCTCGAACAAGACGCTGAAACGGTAACTTGCGAATCAGCAACTCGGTGGACTTCTGATAACGACGGATCTCTCTGAGGGCCACTGTTCCTGGCCTGTAACGGTGCGGTTTTTTCACGCCACCAGTAGCAGGAGCGCTCTTCGAGCTGCCTTAGTAGCCAGCTGTTTACGAGGCGCTTTTCCTCCGGTGGACTTTCTCGCTGTTTGCTTGGTTCGGGCCATGACTGTGAAACTGATGTTCAGAAGATTAAAGGCTCTATGTGAAAGCTGGGCAATTTTTATGGCCGCGATTTATCAGGAGGCTGTCGCAAGCCGATTGGATATTTAAGGATTTATGCATTTCTGATTGGTTCGGCTTCGAGACACCCTGCTTTGATTTGCATGCCTTACAATAGACAGTGGGGCGAAAGAAAATTATAATATTCTTTTTTTGTGTCCTTTTACTAAGAACAAATCTATGTAAATACAAGAAATAATGTTTCCCGAGAGGTCAGATTGAAGGGTATAGATTGAAAAGTAATTTCTGTTCTGCAGTAATTTAACATAGAGCGAGACCTTTCCCTTTTTAAACCTTGACGATAATTCAGACAACCGAGAATGTCCGGTCGCGGCAAAGGAGGTAAAGGCTTGGGCAAAGGTGGTGCTAAGCGTCATCGTAAGATTCTACGCGATAATATCCAAGGAATTACCAAGCCAGCGATCCGTCGTCTCGCTCGCCGTGGGGGGTGTAAAGCGAATTTCTGACTGATCTACGAGGAGACACGCGGTGTTCTGAAAGTTTTCCTTGAGAACGTTATCCGCGATGCCGTGACCTACACCGAGCACGCCAAGCGTAAGACCGTTACAGCCATGGACGTAGTATACGCTCTGAAACGACAAGGACGTACTCTGTACGGTTTTGGGGGTTAGAATACACTGTAATCCCTGATCAACACTTAAACCAACGGCTCTTTTTTAGGAGCCAACAAATGTATGAAAAGCTCTGACCAATACGTGATAAGAGAATTTGTTTTCATTACGATCATTGCTGAAGGTTTATATACATATCAACAAGTCAACATACACCTGAAATCGATTCAGCGCTTTATTTACTGGGTGCGTCCACGCCAGTTTTTTCTTTTTTAGTGACTTTACAGCAGCGCAGTCGTTACTTATACAGGGAAATTATTTTTTTCCCGTCTAGATTAGCCTCATAGCTCTTTTTGCGGGGCATACAATACTGTAAAGCTTTTGTCTTTAATTAGTTAGTGAATAAACTGTTGTTGTACGTTGTTGTTGTGGCAGAATTAAGAGAGCAAGCTGGTTTGTGTCGTTACCGACGACGGTTTATAACTGTGTTAGTTTATTTTACGTAAACAGCTTGTGTACCGAAGGAAATCACGACGATCTCTTTGTAATTTTTAGGCAAAGAAAACAACATTTCAAGCTCAGTAGTAGCAGCAATGTTTGTTCCCGGTTGGTAGGAATGCGATTAATTGTGTACTCGTTTAAAAAGAGCAGAAAGTTGTTCGATTGTCGCTTGGTATGTACCTCGAAGTTCGTATAAAAACCTGTTGGAAACAGCGCGAATGAAACCTGCATAGAAAGCAAACGCAATTTCAACTTTCATGATATAATCACATCAGTCTTTAAATTCATGTTACACCGAGCTAAACTGACCTAAGACTGGTTTCAGTTTTCAAGCAATGCTGTGGTTGCTGTTGTTTGTTTCTTTACATGCGATAGCCGAAATAGCGCTAAATATGCTTTGGTATACGCATTTATGAACAAAACTAGCAACATGGAACCATGCAAAAACAAATAGAAATAGCGAGTTTCCGCGAGACATAATTATTTGTGGCTAAGTATCGATCGAGTTATTAACCCCAAACTTAGACGGCGAATACTATTTGGGGGGTAGATTACAAATTTATATCGTGATTGGTCATGACTTTATTCTAGACTTGGTGGCTCCTAAAAGAGCCGTTTGTATTTATGGTTGTTGCCGTCGCTTAGTGTTGTTTCTTCTCTGTCTTTTTTTTAGTAATACTGCCTGAATGTTGGGAAGAACACCGCCTTGAGCGATGGTGACACCGGCAAGGAGTTTGTTTAATTCTTCGTCATTTCGCACAGCCAACTGGAGGTGACGAGGAATGATTCTTGACTTCTTGTTGTCGCGTGCTGCGTTTCCTGCTAACTCGAGGATCTCAGCACTCAGATACTCAAGTACGGCAGCCAAGTACACGGGAGCACCGGCTCCGACGCGTTCAGCGTAGTTGCCTTTACGAAGAAGGCGATGGATGCGACCAACAGGAAACTGTAGACCTGCCCTGGAAGAACGAGTCTTTGACTTGGTGCCCTGGGCTTTACCTTTTCCTCGTCCGGTCATTTTGTCGAGTAACTCGTATCTTAAGTTTCAGTTTAAGTTTCAGGAGACTGTTTTCCAAGACATGACTTCGGCCGCCATAATTTATCACGCGCGGACTGCGTTTCGTGGATCAGATTGCACCAATCAAAAGTCTTACATTGGCTCATAAAAGAAATTCTAGCCTTGCAATTGTTCTCTTTGTGTCGATTGGCGGCACGCTCCATTGTTTACACCGAGAAAAAAAAAAAAGACACCAATCACCACCGACGAGAACTTGCGATCCGCATATTAATTGATCCTATTGAATTTGGCAACATAAATAGAAACTGTGATATCCCGAATTACCAAACTCTATTTCGAAAAGGCAGAGATATCTTTCTTTACCATGGCACCTAAACCGATTGCAGCTAAAAAGGGAGAGAAGAAGAGCGGCGGTAAGGCAAAATCCACGTCGGGCGACAGTACGAAAAAAAACGGCGATCGAAACGGAAGGAGAGTTATGCGATCTACATCTACAAAGTGTTGAAGCAGGTACATCCTGACACCGGAATCTCCAGCAAAGCAATGGGTATCATGAACTCTTTCGTGAACGATATCTTTGAGCGCATTGCTACAGAATCCTCCCGTCTAGCCCACTACAACAAGAAGTCCACTATCAGCTCCCGCGAGATTCAGACAGCCATCAGACTGCTCCTTCCAGGAGAACTCGCAAAGCACGCAGTCAGTGAGGGTACCAAGGCCGTCACGAAGTACACTAGTAGCAAGTGAAGTCCATCCATTTTCAATACCAGATCTAAACAACGGCTCTTTTAGGAGCCACCAAATGTCAAAAAAAGCAATGATCAACACAGTTTCTTAGAGTTTTCAATCGTCATTATAAACCCTGAAACTCTTCGCACACTTGCTCCCATTAAAAAATGTCAAGGAACGAACAAATCATTCCTCTATTTACCCGTTCAACTTTACTTTTTACATAAAAAACACACAGATAAAGGTTTTAAAAGATGATTTTTATGTAAGCAAAGAGAAAAGAAGAAAAAAAAAAGAAACAAATAAACGATTGCTGGTTGACAACACGCACCGAACCCAACAGTTTCCGCACGATCTCCTTCCCAGCGCGATGACCACTACACCACGCCAGAGAATCAACTGAAGTAGTTCGTAAAACAACGTTACTTAAAAGTGTTACAGGCATGAACAGGTCATTTCGGTACTGCACTTGAGAACAAGAAAACGGTTTACCAGGCTGCAAATATATATTTTCCGGGATGTAAGGGTTTTAATACTTCAAATCAGTTAAGCGGGAGGGATTCTTACTATTGAATATTGACGTTTACGGTAGTTTTCATTACCCGGGTACCTGATAACCAGTTTCTTGACCAAGGTGCATGTACTGACCACTTCGAATAAAAAGTATTTATCTTATCTGATCTGATCTGATCTGATCTTATGGAGTGGCTTTTGTTTACTCTTTTAAGGCGTCTCTAAGCCGCGGTTCAAGTAACCTTCTGCTTAACAAAAACGAAATCAGTTTCGGCAAAGGAGAAATAAATACTGTGCTATAGGTGAAGGTGACCTAAGGTCAACATACTAGAGGTGATATTGGTGATGACTTTTCTTTATTTGGTGGCTCCTAAAGGAGCCGGTAGTTGAATAAGTGGGCGAGTTTTACTTGCCACTGACTTTCTTGTTGGCTGATTTTTTAACCGAGGCTTTGCTTTCTTTCGCTTTCTTAGGCAACGGCTTTTTGTGGCAGTCTTCTTTGGCACGAGAGGTGTCTTCTTCTTGCTGCTGGAAACTTTCTTACCCGGCGATTTCTTGGTTTTCTCGGCTGGTTTGCGGGCGGTCTTTTCTTTCGCGGCGACCTTCTTTATTTTTGGTTTGTTGGCTGGATCGGCGGTTTTGGTCTTCTTCGCCAGGTCTTTGGCTGCCTTTGCTTTCTTTACTTTTTTTGACCTTGAAAGAACCTGAAGCTCCGGACCCTTTGGTGTTGATAAATTGACCATTCTCCACGCCTCTCTTAAGAGCCATTTTAATAAAATGACTTGCTTTGTCTCCCACTTTGAAATGGTTCTTAACGTACTTGTCGACAGCCTGACGTGAAGAACCATTACGATCTTTCAGGGCGTGAAGGGCTTGTATGATCATTTCTGCATACTTAGGGTGTTCGGCCGGCTGTTTAGAAGCTTTCTTCTGGGTGCTTTTGACAGACATGTCTCGTTATAGTCTCCACAGCGATAGCTAATGTTGGTTACTTGCGCAACTCTTTTCTTAAGTTGTTATAGCGGACCGCAGAGGGATCAGTTACTACTGATCGCGATAGATCTGTTACCTCTAAGATGTTTGCTAAGTTCTTTGAAAATGAGATGGATTGTAAACGTCAACATAGGAAGACAGGCAGAGAGATAGACTGAACGAATAAGGAGTTGTTGGGCGCAATCACTAATTTTTGGTAAGCTTAGGGATACTAGTACTCTACTGTGTCCTTATCGCGAAAAAAAACTTGTAACGGCGTGGAGTATGAGAATTATTTCTGTCTCATTTCACTAGTAACTAATAAAGAAATAAGTAGAGACAAGGTAAGAAGTAGTTTATTGGCCATTAACTTTTATTGTCAGGTGGTGGCTCCTAAAGGAGCCGTTTGTAATGTGAGATTGTCAGAACCGAGCTGAGCTGTTATGCACGTTCGCCCCGGATCCTACGAGCCAACTGGATATCTTTAGGCATGATGGTGACACGTTTAGCGTGAATGGCGCAAAGGTTGGTGTCCTCGAAAAGACCGACCAGGTAGGCTTCGCTAGCCTCTTGAAGAGCCAGCACGGCTGAGCTTTGAAAGCGCAAGTCGGTCTTGAAATCCTGAGCGATTTCTCGAACAAGACGCTGAAACGGTAACTTGCGAATCAGCAACTCGGTGGACTTCTGATAACGACGGATCTCTCTGAGGGCCACTGTTCCTGGCCTGTAACGGTGCGGTTTTTTTTCACGCCACCAGTAGCAGGAGCGCTCTTTCGAGCTGCCTTAGTAGCCAGCTGTTTACGAGGCGCTTTTCCTCCGGTGGACTTTCTCGCTGTTTGCTTGGTTCGGGCCATGACTGTGAAACTGATGTTCAGAAGATTAAAGGCTCTATGTGAAAGCTGGGCAATTTTTATGGCCGCGATTTATCAGGAGGCTGTCGCAAGCCGATTGGATATTTAAGGATTTATGCATTTCTGATTGGTTCGGCTTCGGAGACACCCTGCTTTGATTTGCATGCCTTACAATAGACAGTGGGGGGGCGAAAGAAAATTATAATATTCTTTTGTTGTCCTTTTACTAAGAACAAATCTATGTAAATACAAGAAATAATGTTTCCCGAGAGGTCAGATTGAAGGGTATAGATTGAAAAGTAATTTCTGTTCTGCAGTAATTTAACATAGAGCGAGACCTTTCCCTTTTTAAACCTTGACGATAATTCAGACAACCGAGAATGTCCGGTCGCGGCAAAGGAGGTAAAGGCTTGGGCAAAGGTGGTGCTAAGCGTCATCGTAAGATTCTACGCGATAATATCCAAGGAATTACCAAGCCAGCGATCCGTCGTCTCGCTCGCCGTGGGGTGTAAAGCGAATTTCTGGACTGATCTACGAGGAGACACGCGGTGTTCTGAAAGTTTTCCTTGAGAACGTTATCCGCGATGCCGTGACCTACACCGAGCACGCCAAGCGTAAGACCGTTACAGCCATGGACGTAGTATACGCTCTGAAACGACAAGGACGTACTCTGTACGGTTTTGGGGGTTAGAATACACTGTAATCCCTGATCAACACTTAAACCAACGGCTCTTTTAGAGCCAACAAATGTATGAAAAGCTCTGACCAATACGTGATAAGAGAATTTGTTTTCATTACGATCATTGCTGAAGGTTTATATACATATCAACAAGTCAACATACACCTGAAATCGATTCAGCGCTTTATTTACTGGGTGCGTCCACGCCAGTTTTTTCTTTTTTAGTGACTTTACAGCAGCGCAGTCGTTACTTATACAGGGAAATTATTTTTTTCCCGTCTAGATTAGCCTCATAGCTCTTTGCGGGGCATACAATACTGTAAAGCTTTTGTCTTTAATTAGTTAGTGAATAAACTGTTGTTGTACGTTGTTGTTGTGGCAGAATTAAGAGAGCAAGCTGGTTTGTGTCGTTACCGACGACGGTTTATAACTGTGTTAGTTTATTTTACGTAAACAGCTTGTGTACCGAAGGAAATCACGACGATCTCTTGTAATTTTTAGGCAAAGAAAACAACATTTCAAGCTCAGTAGTAGCAGCAATGTTTGTTCCCGGTTGGTAGGAATGCGATTAATTGTGTACTCGTTTAAAAAGAGCAGAAAGTTGTTCGATTGTCGCTTGGTATGTACCTCGAAGTTCGTATAAAAACCTGTTGGAAACAGCGCGAATGAAACCTGCATAGAAAGCAAACGCAATTTCAACTTTCATGATATAATCACATCAGTCTTTAAATTCATGTTACACCGAGCTAAACTGACCTAAGACTGGTTTCAGTTTTCAAGCAATGCTGTGGTTGCTGTTGTTTGTTTCTTACATGCGATAGCCGAAATAGCGCTAAATATGCTTTGGTATACGCATTTATGAACAAAACTAGCAACATGGAACCATGCAAAAACAAATAGAAATAGCGAGTTTCCGCGAGACATAATTATTTGTGGCTAAGTATCGATCGAGTTATTAACCCCAAACTTAGACGGCGAATACTATTTGGGGGGTAGATTACAAATTTATATCGTGATTTGGTCATGACTTTATTCTAGACTTGGTGGCTCCTAAAAGAGCCGTTTGTATTTATGGTTGTTGCCGTCGCTTAGTGTTGTTTCTTCTCTGTCTTTTTTTAGGTAGTAATACTGCCTGAATGTTGGGAAGAACACCGCCTTGAGCGATGGTGACACCGGCAAGGAGTTTGTTTAATTCTTCGTCATTTCGCACAGCCAACTGGAGGTGACGAGGAATGATTCTTGACTTCTTGTTGTCGCGTGCTGCGTTTCCTGCTAACTCGAGGATCTCAGCACTCAGATACTCAAGTACGGCAGCCAAGTACACGGGAGCACCGGCTCCGACGCGTTCAGCGTAGTTGCCTTTACGAAGAAGGCGATGGATGCGACCAACAGGAAACTGTAGACCTGCCCTGGAAGAACGAGTCTTTGACTTGGTGCCCTGGGCTTTACCTTTTCCTCGTCCGGTCATTTTGTCGAGTAACTCGTATCTTAAGTTTCAGTTTAAGTTTCAGGAGACTGTTTTTTCCAAGACATGACTTCGGCCGCCATAATTTATCACGCGCGGACTGCGTTTCGTGGATCAGATTGCACCAATCAAAAGTCTTACATTGGCTCATAAAAGAAATTCTAGCCTTGCAATTGTTCTCTTTGTGTCGATTGGCGGCACGCTCCATTGTTTACACCGAGAAAAAAAAAAAGACACCAATCACCGACGAGAACTTGCGATCCGCATATTAATTGATCCTATTGAATTTGGCAACATAAATAGAAACTGTGATATCCCGAATTACCAAACTCTATTTCGAAAAGGCAGAGATATCTTTCTTTACCATGGCACCTAAACCGATTGCAGCTAAAAAGGGAGAGAAGAAGAGCGGCGGTAAGGCAAAATCCACGTCGGGCGACAGTACGAAAAAAACGGCGATCGAAACGGAAGGAGAGTTATGCGATCTACATCTACAAAGTGTTGAAGCAGGTACATCCTGACACCGGAATCTCCAGCAAAGCAATGGGTATCATGAACTCTTTCGTGAACGATATCTTTGAGCGCATTGCTACAGAATCCTCCCGTCTAGCCCACTACAACAAGAAGTCCACTATCAGCTCCCGCGAGATTCAGACAGCCATCAGACTGCTCCTTCCAGGAGAACTCGCAAAGCACGCAGTCAGTGAGGGTACCAAGGCCGTCACGAAGTACACTAGTAGCAAGTGAAGTCCATTCTTCAATACCAGATCTAAACAACGGCTCTTTTAGGAGCCACCAAATGTCAAAAAAAGCAATGATCAACACAGTTTCTTAGAGTTTTCAATCGTCATTATAAACCCTGAAACTCTTCGCACACTTGCTCCCATTAAAAAATGTCAAGGAACGAACAAATCATTCCTCTATTTACCCGTTCAACTTTACTTTTTACATAAAAAACACACAGATAAAGGTTTTAAAAGATGATTTTTATGTAAGCAAAGAGAAAAGAAGAAAAAAAAAAGAAACAAATAAACGATTGCTGGTTGACAACACGCACCGAACCCAACAGTTTCCGCACGATCTCCTTCCCAGCGCGATGACCACTACACCACGCCAGAGAATCAACTGAAGTAGTTCGTAAAACAACGTTACTTAAAAGTGTTACAGGCATGAACAGGTCATTTCGGTACTGCACTTGAGAACAAGAAAACGGTTTACCAGGCTGCAAATATATATTTTCCGGGATGTAAGGGTTTTAATACTTCAAATCAGTTAAGCGGGAGGGATTCTTACTATTGAATATTGACGTTTACGGTAGTTTTCATTACCCGGGTACCTGATAACCAGTTTCTTGACCAAGGTGCATGTACTGACCACTTCGAATAAAAAGTATTTATCTTATCTGATCTGATCTGATCTGATCTTATGGAGTGGCTTTTGTTTACTCTTTTAAGGCGTCTCTAAGCCGCGGTTCAAGTAACCTTCTGCTTAACAAAAACGAAATCAGTTTCGGCAAAGGAGAAATAAATACTGTGCTATAGGTGAAGGTGACCTAAGGTCAACATACTAGAGGTGATATTGGTGATGACTTTTCTTTATTTGGTGGCTCCTAAAGGAGCCGGTAGTTGAATAAGTGGGCGAGTTTTACTTGCCACTGACTTTCTTGTTGGCTGATTTTTAACCGAGGCTTTGCTTTCTTTCGCTTTCTTAGGCAACGGCTTCTTTGTGGCAGTCTTCTTTGGCACGAGAGGTGTCTTCTTCTTGCTGCTGGAAACTTTCTTACCCGGCGATTTCTTGGTTTTCTCGGCTGGTTTGCGGGCGGTCTTTTCTTTCGCGGCGACCTTCTTTATTTTTGGTTTGTTGGCTGGATCGGCGGTTTTGGTCTTCTTCGCCAGGTCTTTGGCTGCCTTTGCTTTCTTTACTTCTTTGTTGACCTTGAAAGAACCTGAAGCTCCGGACCCTTTGGTGTTGATAAATTGACCATTCTCCACGCCTCTCTTAAGAGCCATTTTAATAAAATGACTTGCTTTGTCTCCCACTTTGAAATGGTTCTTAACGTACTTGTCGACAGCCTGACGTGAAGAACCATTACGATCTTTCAGGGCGTGAAGGGCTTGTATGATCATTTCTGCATACTTAGGGTGTTCGGCCGGCTGTTTAGAAGCTTTCTTCTGGGTGCTTTTGACAGACATGTCTCGTTATAGTCTCCACAGCGATAGCTAATGTTGGTTACTTGCGCAACTCTTTTCTTAAGTTGTTATAGCGGACCGCAGAGGGATCAGTTACTACTGATCGCGATAGATCTGTTACCTCTAAGATGTTTGCTAAGTTCTTTGAAAATGAGATGGATTGTAAACGTCAACATAGGAAGACAGGCAGAGAGATAGACTGAACGAATAAGGAGTTGTTGGGCGCAATCACTAATTTTTTGGTAAGCTTAGGGATACTAGTACTCTACTGTGTCCTTATCGCGAAAAACTTGTAACGGCGTGGAGTATGAGAATTATTTCTGTCTCATTTCACTAGTAACTAATAAAGAAATAAGTAGAGACAAGGTAAAGTAGTTTATTGGCCATTAACTTTTATTGTCAGGTGGTGGCTCCTAAAGGAGCCGTTTGTAATGTGAGATTGTCAGAACCGAGCTGAGCTGTTATGCACGTTCGCCCCGGATCCTACGAGCCAACTGGATATCTTTAGGCATGATGGTGACACGTTTAGCGTGAATGGCGCAAAGGTTGGTGTCCTCGAAAAGACCGACCAGGTAGGCTTCGCTAGCCTCTTGAAGAGCCAGCACGGCTGAGCTTTGAAAGCGCAAGTCGGTCTTGAAATCCTGAGCGATTTCTCGAACAAGACGCTGAAACGGTAACTTGCGAATCAGCAACTCGGTGGACTTCTGATAACGACGGATCTCTCTGAGGGCCACTGTTCCTGGCCTGTAACGGTGCGGTTTTTTCACGCCACCAGTAGCAGGAGCGCTCTTTCGAGCTGCCTTAGTAGCCAGCTGTTTACGAGGCGCTTTTCCTCCGGTGGACTTTCTCGCTGTTTGCTTGGTTCGGGCCATGACTGTGAAACTGATGTTCAGAAGATTAAAGGCTCTATGTGAAAGCTGGGCAATTTTTATGGCCGCGATTTATCAGGAGGCTGTCGCAAGCCGATTGGATATTTAAGGATTTATGCATTTCTGATTGGTTCGGCTTCGAGACACCCCTGCTTTGATTTGCATGCCTTACAATAGACAGTGGGGCGAAAGAAAATTATAATATTCTTTTGTTGTCCTTTTACTAAGAACAAATCTATGTAAATACAAGAAATAATGTTTCCCGAGAGGTCAGATTGAAGGGTATAGATTGAAAAGTAATTTCTGTTCTGCAGTAATTTAACATAGAGCGAGACCTTTCCCTTTTTAAACCTTGACGATAATTCAGACAACCGAGAATGTCCGGTCGCGGCAAAGGAGGTAAAGGCTTGGGCAAAGGTGGTGCTAAGCGTCATCGTAAGATTCTACGCGATAATATCCAAGGAATTACCAAGCCAGCGATCCGTCGTCTCGCTCGCCGCCGGGGGTGTAAAGCGAATTTCTGGACTGATCTACGAGGAGACACGCGGTGTTCTGAAAGTTTTCCTTGAGAACGTTATCCGCGATGCCGTGACCTACACCGAGCACGCCAAGCGTAAGACCGTTACAGCCATGGACGTAGTATACGCTCTGAAACGACAAGGACGTACTCTGTACGGTTTTGGGGGTTAGAATACACTGTAATCCCTGATCAACACTTAAACCAACGGCTCTTTTAGGAGCCAACAAATGTATGAAAAGCTCTGACCAATACGTGATAAGAGAATTTGTTTTCATTACGATCATTGCTGAAGGTTTATATACATATCAACAAGTCAACATACACCTGAAATCGATTCAGCGCTTTATTTACTGGGTGCGTCCACGCCAGTTTTTTCTTTTTTAGTGACTTTACAGCAGCGCAGTCGTTACTTATACAGGGAAATTATTTTTTCCCGTCTAGATTAGCCTCATAGCTCTTTGCGGGGCATACAATACTGTAAAGCTTTTGTCTTTAATTAGTTAGTGAATAAACTGTTGTTGTACGTTGTTGTTGTGGCAGAATTAAGAGAGCAAGCTGGTTTGTGTCGTTACCGACGACGGTTTATAACTGTGTTAGTTTATTTTACGTAAACAGCTTGTGTACCGAAGGAAATCACGACGATCTCTTGTAATTTTTAGGCAAAAAAACAACATTTCAAGCTCAGTAGTAGCAGCAATGTTTGTTCCCGGTTGGTAGGAATGCGATTAATTGTGTACTCGTTTAAAAAGAGCAGAAAGTTGTTCGATTGTCGCTTGGTATGTACCTCGAAGTTCGTATAAAAACCTGTTGGAAACAGCGCGAATGAAACCTGCATAGAAAGCAAACGCAATTTCAACTTTCATGATATAATCACATCAGTCTTTAAATTCATGTTACACCGAGCTAAACTGACCTAAGACTGGTTTCAGTTTTCAAGCAATGCTGTGGTTGCTGTTGTTTGTTTCTTACATGCGATAGCCGAAATAGCGCTAAATATGCTTTGGTATACGCATTTATGAACAAAACTAGCAACATGGAACCATGCAAAAACAAATAGAAATAGCGAGTTTCCGCGAGACATAATTATTTGTGGCTAAGTATCGATCGAGTTATTAACCCCAAACTTAGACGGCGAATACTATTTGGGGGGTAGATTACAAATTTATATCGTGATTGGTCATGACTTTATTCTAGACTTGGTGGCTCCTAAAAAGAGCCGTTTGTATTTATGGTTGTTGCCGTCGCTTAGTGTTGTTTCTTCTCTGTCTTTTTAGGTAGTAATACTGCCTGAATGTTGGGAAGAACACCGCCTTGAGCGATGGTGACACCGGCAAGGAGTTTGTTTAATTCTTCGTCATTTCGCACAGCCAACTGGAGGTGACGAGGAATGATTCTTGACTTCTTGTTGTCGCGTGCTGCGTTTCCTGCTAACTCGAGGATCTCAGCACTCAGATACTCAAGTACGGCAGCCAAGTACACGGGAGCACCGGCTCCGACGCGTTCAGCGTAGTTGCCTTTACGAAGAAGGCGATGGATGCGACCAACAGGAAACTGTAGACCTGCCCTGGAAGAACGAGTCTTTGACTTGGTGCCCTGGGCTTTACCTTTTCCTCGTCCGGTCATTTTGTCGAGTAACTCGTATCTTAAGTTTCAGTTTAAGTTTCAGGAGACTGTTTTCCAAGACATGACTTCGGCCGCCATAATTTATCACGCGCGGACTGCGTTTCGTGGATCAGATTGCACCAATCAAAAGTCTTACATTGGCTCATAAAAGAAATTCTAGCCTTGCAATTGTTCTCTTTGTGTCGATTGGCGGCACGCTCCATTGTTTACACCGAGAAAAAAAAGACACCAATCACCGACGAGAACTTGCGATCCGCATATTAATTGATCCTATTGAATTTGGCAACATAAATAGAAACTGTGATATCCCGAATTACCAAACTCTATTTCGAAAAGGCAGAGATATCTTTCTTTACCATGGCACCTAAACCGATTGCAGCTAAAAAGGGAGAGAAGAAGAGCGGCGGTAAGGCAAAATCCACGTCGGGCGACAGTACGAAAAAACGGCGATCGAAACGGAAGGAGAGTTATGCGATCTACATCTACAAAGTGTTGAAGCAGGTACATCCTGACACCGGAATCTCCAGCAAAGCAATGGGTATCATGAACTCTTTCGTGAACGATATCTTTGAGCGCATTGCTACAGAATCCTCCCGTCTAGCCCACTACAACAAGAAGTCCACTATCAGCTCCCGCGAGATTCAGACAGCCATCAGACTGCTCCTTCCAGGAGAACTCGCAAAGCACGCAGTCAGTGAGGGTACCAAGGCCGTCACGAAGTACACTAGTAGCAAGTGAAGTCCATTCTTCAATACCAGATCTAAACAACGGCTCTTTTAGGAGCCACCAAATGTCAAAAAAAGCAATGATCAACACAGTTTCTTAGAGTTTTCAATCGTCATTATAAACCCTGAAACTCTTCGCACACTTGCTCCCATTAAAAAATGTCAAGGAACGAACAAATCATTCCTCTATTTACCCGTTCAACTTTACTTTTTACATAAAAAACACACAGATAAAGGTTTTAAAAGATGATTTTTATGTAAGCAAAGAGGAAAAGAAGAAAAAAAAAAGAAACAAATAAACGATTGCTGGTTGACAACACGCACCGAACCCAACAGTTTCCGCACGATCTCCTTCCCAGCGCGATGACCACTACACCACGCCAGAGAATCAACTGAAGTAGTTCGTAAAACAACGTTACTTAAAAGTGTTACAGGCATGAACAGGTCATTTCGGTACTGCACTTGAGAACAAGAAAACGGTTTACCAGGCTGCAAATATATATTTTCCGGGATGTAAGGGTTTTAATACTTCAAATCAGTTAAGCGGGAGGGATTCTTACTATTGAATATTGACGTTTACGGTAGTTTTCATTACCCGGGTACCTGATAACCAGTTTCTTGACCAAGGTGCATGTACTGACCACTTCGAATAAAAAGTATTTATCTTATCTGATCTGATCTGATCTGATCTTATGGAGTGGCTTTTGTTTACTCTTTTAAGGCGTCTCTAAGCCGCGGTTCAAGTAACCTTCTGCTTAACAAAAACGAAATCAGTTTCGGCAAAGGAGAAATAAATACTGTGCTATAGGTGAAGGTGACCTAAGGTCAACATACTAGAGGTGATATTGGTGATGACTTTTCTTTATTTGGTGGCTCCTAAAGGAGCCGGTAGTTGAATAAGTGGGCGAGTTTTACTTGCCACTGACTTTCTTGTTGGCTGATTTTTTAACCGAGGCTTTGCTTTCTTTCGCTTTCTTAGGCAACGGCTTCTTTGTGGCAGTCTTCTTTGGCACGAGAGGTGTCTTCTTCTTGCTGCTGGAAACTTTCTTACCCGGCGATTTCTTGGTTTTCTCGGCTGGTTTGCGGGCGGTCTTTTCTTTCGCGGCGACCTTCTTTATTTTTGGTTTGTTTGTTGGCTGGATCGGCGGTTTTGGTCTTCTTCGCCAGGTCTTTGGCTGCCTTTGCTTTCTTTACTTCTTTGTTGACCTTGAAAGAACCTGAAGCTCCGGACCCTTTGGTGTTGATAAATTGACCATTCTCCACGCCTCTCTTAAGAGCCATTTTAATAAAATGACTTGCTTTGTCTCCCACTTTGAAATGGTTCTTAACGTACTTGTCGACAGCCTGACGTGAAGAACCATTACGATCTTTCAGGGCGTGAAGGGCTTGTATGATCATTTCTGCATACTTAGGGTGTTCGGCCGGCTGTTTAGAAGCTTTCTTCTGGGTGCTTTTGACAGACATGTCTCGTTATAGTCTCCACAGCGATAGCTAATGTTGGTTACTTGCGCAACTCTTTTCTTAAGTTGTTATAGCGGACCGCAGAGGGATCAGTTACTACTGATCGCGATAGATCTATTACCTCTAAGATGTTTGCTAAGTTCTTTGAAAATGAGATGGATTGTAAACGTCAACATAGGAAGACAGGCAGAGAGATAGACTGAACGAATAAGGAGTTGTTGGGCGCAATCACTAATTTTTTTGGTAAGCTTAGGGATACTAGTACTCTACTGTGTCCTTATCGCGAAAAACTTGTAACGGCGTGGAGTATGAGAATTATTTCTGTCTCATTTCACTAGTAACTAATAAAAGAAATAAGTAGAGACAAGGTAAGAAGTAGTTTATTGGCCATTAACTTTTATTGTCAGGTGGTGGCTCCTAAAGGAGCCGTTTGTAATGTGAGATTGTCAGAACCGAGCTGAGCTGTTATGCACGTTCGCCCCGGATCCTACGAGCCAACTGGATATCTTTAGGCATGATGGTGACACGTTTAGCGTGAATGGCGCAAAGGTTGGTGTCCTCGAAAAGACCGACCAGGTAGGCTTCGCTAGCCTCTTGAAGAGCCAGCACGGCTGAGCTTTGAAAGCGCAAGTCGGTCTTGAAATCCTGAGCGATTTCTCGAACAAGACGCTGAAACGGTAACTTGCGAATCAGCAACTCGGTGGACTTCTGATAACGACGGATCTCTCTGAGGGCCACTGTTCCTGGCCTGTAACGGTGCGGCTTTTCACGCCACCAGTAGCAGGAGCGCTCTTTCGAGCTGCCTTAGTAGCCAGCTGTTTACGAGGCGCTTTTCCTCCGGTGGACTTTCTCGCTGTTTGCTTGGTTCGGGCCATGACTGTGAAACTGATGTTCAGAAGATTAAAGGCTCTATGTGAAAGCTGGGCAATTTTTATGGCCGCGATTTATCAGGAGGCTGTCGCAAGCCGATTGGATATTTAAGGATTTATGCATTTCTGATTGGTTCGGCTTCGGAGACACCCTGCTTTGATTTGCATGCCTTACAATAGACAGTGGGGCGAAAAGAAAATTATAATATTCTTTTGTTGTCCTTTTACTAAGAACAAATCTATGTAAATACAAGAAATAATGTTTCCCGAGAGGTCAGATTGAAGGGTATAGATTGAAAAGTAATTTCTGTTCTGCAGTAATTTAACATAGAGCGAGACCTTTCCCTTTTTAAACCTTGACGATAATTCAGACAACCGAGAATGTCCGGTCGCGGCAAAGGAGGTAAAGGCTTGGGCAAAGGTGGTGCTAAGCGTCATCGTAAGATTCTACGCGATAATATCCAAGGAATTACCAAGCCAGCGATCCGTCGTCTCGCTCGCCGTGGGGGTGTAAAGCGAATTTCTGGACTGATCTACGAGGAGACACGCGGTGTTCTGAAAGTTTTCCTTGAGAACGTTATCCGCGATGCCGTGACCTACACCGAGCACGCCAAGCGTAAGACCGTTACAGCCATGGACGTAGTATACGCTCTGAAACGACAAGGACGTACTCTGTACGGTTTTGGGGTTAGAATACACTGTAATCCCTGATCAACACTTAAACCAACGGCTCTTTTAGGAGCCAACAAATGTATGAAAAGCTCTGACCAATACGTGATAAGAGAATTTGTTTTCATTACGATCATTGCTGAAGGTTTATATACATATCAACAAGTCAACATACACCTGAAATCGATTCAGCGCTTTATTTACTGGGTGCGTCCACGCCAGTTTTTTCTTTTTTAGTGACTTTACAGCAGCGCAGTCGTTACTTATACAGGGAAATTATTTTTTTCCCGTCTAGATTAGCCTCATAGCTCTTTGCGGGGCATACAATACTGTAAAGCTTTTGTCTTTAATTAGTTAGTGAATAAACTGTTGTTGTACGTTGTTGTTGTGGCAGAATTAAGAGAGCAAGCTGGTTTGTGTCGTTACCGACGACGGTTTATAACTGTGTTAGTTTATTTTACGTAAACAGCTTGTGTACCGAAGGAAATCACGACGATCTCTTGTAAGAAGTTCGTATAAAAACCTGTTGGAAACAGCGCGAATGAAACCTGCATAGAAAGCAAACGCAATTTCAACTTTCATGATATAATCACATCAGTCTTTAAATTCATGTTACACCGAGCTAAACTGACCTAAGACTGGTTTCAGTTTTCAAGCAATGCTGTGGTTGCTGTTGTTTGTTTCTTACATGCGATAGCCGAAATAGCGCTAAATATGCTTTGGTATACGCATTTATGAACAAAACTAGCAACATGGAACCATGCAAAAACAAATAGAAATAGCGAGTTTCCGCGAGACATAATTATTTGTGGCTAAGTATCGATCGAGTTATTAACCCCAAACTTAGACGGCGAATACTATTTGGGGTAGTTTTCATTACCCGGGTACCTGATAACCAGTTTCTTGACCAAGGTGTATGTACTGACCACTTCGAATAAAAAGTATTTATCTTATCTGATCTGATCTGATCTGATCTTATGGAGTGGCTTTTGTTTACTCTTTTAAAGGCGTCTCTAAGCCGCGGTTCAAGTAACCTTCTGCTTAACAAAAAACGAAATCAGTTTCGGCAAAGGAGAAATAAATACTGTGCTATAGGTGAAGGTGACCTAAGGTCAACATACTAGAGGTGATATTGGTGATGACTTTTCTTTATTTGGTGGCTCCTAAAGGAGCCGGTAGTTGAATAAGTGGGCGAGTTTTACTTGCCACTGACTTTCTTGTTGGCTGATTTTTTTAACCGAGGCTTTGCTTTCTTTCGCTTTCTTAGGCAACGGCTTTTTGTGGCAGTCTTCTTTGGCACGAGAGGTGTCTTCTTCTTGCTGCTGGAAACTTTCTTACCCGGCGATTTCTTGGTTTTCTCGGCTGGTTTGCGGGCGGTCTTTTTCTTTCGCGGCGACCTTCTTTATTTTTGGTTTGTTGGCTGGATCGGCGGTTTTGGTCTTCTTCGCCAGGTCTTTGGCTGCCTTTGCTTTCTTTACTTTTTTTGACCTTGAAAGAACCTGAAGCTCCGGACCCTTTGGTGTTGATAAATTGACCATTCTCCACGCCTCTCTTAAGAGCCATTTTAATAAAATGACTTGCTTTGTCTCCCACTTTGAAATGGTTCTTAACGTACTTGTCGACAGCCTGACGTGAAGAACCATTACGATCTTTCAGGGCGTGAAGGGCTTGTATGATCATTTCTGCATACTTAGGGTGTTCGGCCGGCTGTTTAGAAGCTTTCTTCTGGGTGCTTTTGACAGACATGTCTCGTTATAGTCTCCACAGCGATAGCTAATGTTGGTTACTTGCGCAACTCTTTTCTTAAGTTGTTATAGCGGACCGCAGAGGGATCAGTTACTACTGATCGCGATAGATCTGTTACCTCTAAGATGTTTGCTAAGTTCTTTGAAAATGAGATGGATTGTAAACGTCAACATAGGAAGACAGGCAGAGAGATAGACTGAACGAATAAGGAGTTGTTGGGCGCAATCACTAATTTTTGGTAAGCTTAGGGATACTAGTACTCTACTGTGTCCTTATCGCGAAAAAACTTGTAACGGCGTGGAGTATGAGAATTATTTCTGTCTCATTTCACTAGTAACTAATAAAGAAATAAGTAGAGACAAGGTAAGAAGTAGTTTATTGGCCATTAACTTTTATTGTCAGGTGGTGGCTCCTAAAGGAGCCGTTTGTAATGTGAGATTGTCAGAACCGAGCTGAGCTGTTATGCACGTTCGCCCCGGATCCTACGAGCCAACTGGATATCTTTAGGCATGATGGTGACACGTTTAGCGTGAATGGCGCAAAGGTTGGTGTCCTCGAAAAGACCGACCAGGTAGGCTTCGCTAGCCTCTTGAAGAGCCAGCACGGCTGAGCTTTGAAAGC